GTACACTTCCAGCAAGTAAGCCTAGCTTACTGATGGAACATACCTAACCTAACCCAACGGCCCTCTTTAGGGCCACATCTATATGTCAAAAAAAAATCTACTTAAATAAATGTTTCAAAACCAGGGTTTTGTTTTATTTTCGTGTAATGGTAAGCATTGATTTAGGTCAGGAATAGAATGTGTAGTGGAAGAACAAGTAAGGCTACAGTAAGTGTGAAGTGTTTGATAGGCAGTCTAAACTGACAGAGAAAACACTTGATTTGATGATTGGAAAGATGACTGAAACTCCTAAACCGCGAAGCGTGTTAAAACAATGTGGGCTTCACCCTTTTGTAATTCGGATGCACAGTTGCAGAATTGCACATTAATGGCGGTGTTTATGAAGGGATAAAGGCTGATCCCTGACGAAGGCAGTAGTTTGGGTTGCGAAGCGGATGCGATCGACGTTGAAGCGCTCATTATAAGAGTTCTTACATTCGCATACGCTTTGCTTTCATGAAACCTGCCTTCGTCTGGGACTAGCCTTTACACGATCTTGTAACGTCTTAGACCCGTGAACCATGTTGTCTATTCAGCTTTACCCAAAAAGGCCTTTTACCTAAAATAAGTACAAAATAGTGTAATAATGTCGATAACCCCCTAATCGAAGCTCCAGCCAAGATTCAATGCTTTGGAATTATGTGCCTTCTGTAAGTGAGCAGAATCTATCACTACATCTACAATCCCGATAACAAATTCTCCTGAGAAATTTCACCTCAGGATTTTTTATTAGATTAGCCAGAAATACAGTGCAACGAGCTTGGGTCAATGACAAATCATAGGTCTCTTAGATATCATTTGATTCAACTGGATTGGCGGCTGGAAGGCGGGACTTCGAGACCAGAAGATGATCAGAGAGCATGCTTGCGAGGGAGACGCAGAGTGCGTCGCAGGCGCGAGCAGTCCCGTAGCCGCTAATCTCGTTGAAACAAAGGTCACTCCTAGCATATTTGTTTTTATTTGAACGCTAGCATACAAAATTGTGGGGCACTTTTGTCCCGTTCCGTCCCATATACGAAACTTAGTTCCATCTTACTCATTTCCTGAGAGTGATGGTGATAGCTTCAGCTGTTGAATCAGCGGAAAAGATAAACCCAGGTAAGTAAGGAGAATCCTCGAGATTTTGCTTGGCTAGCTTTATAGCAGGAGAACTTAGAGCGGATCCGTTGTAAATCAAGATTTGAGAACAAACATGAAGAAAGAGTCTATGAATTGATTATGACGTTTGATTGTCTGAAAAGAAGCACTGGCATAAAGCAACCGTTAATAGCGCAGTAGAATGAGGCCTTTAACTGAGCAACGTCTTATCTTCACTTATAAATTGATCGCCCAATCGTTTACGAGATCACGCTTTTGATCGTTATTGGTCTTACGTCGAAGTTTTCATAAACCTATCCAACTTGTTGTCCTATGCAGCCGGTGCTTGCTCATCTAGTTTTCAAAATGGCTCTTCACTTTCAGAAAAATCGACTATGGAAGCAAACAAAGAGCTCGAACGCTGGGTATACGGAGTGATTCTATTTTTCGTCACTGTGGGCCTACGCATCTACATATTGAACAGGGAGTATCTCAGCTCATTGATCATATAACCGTGTTTAGCTTCTTAATGACATAGCTATTACTTTTACTCCTTCCTCTTCAGCTAAAAAATTACATTGTTCATGTCCTAGCAAGGGGTACGTAGGAGAGCGTAGGTGCGCAAAACTTTCTCCTCTCCTCTCGCCTGATCTCCAAACCTTACAAATTTCAAACATTTTCCCTCCGGCAATTTGCTAGCATGGCAAGCTACGAAAGACGACGACGTCGAGTACATATCGAGCTTCTTCCCGAAAGCGCTATGGAGGATGCGCGAAGAAGCCCCGCCTTAATGGGTGGAGCATTGTCCGCGCAAACCTAGATCAGAGCTTAT